AAAAAAAAAAAATGCTGTTGGATTCCTGATGTCAGGAAAGGTGAAGCCAGATGCAAATTGTGTAGCCCTCCAGCTCCTTGGAGTTGTTATTATTGTAGAGATCACTCAGGATAGCTTAGTACCTCTGAAGCATCTAATAAATACTCTTGTAAAATAATCAGACCTGACTTAGATTAATGATGGTGTTTTCTCTTGTACAGCATGATAAGGCAGGGCTGCTGAGCATGGCAAATGCAGGACCCAATACAAATGGCTCCCAATTCTTCATCACAACAGTGCCAACTCCTCACCTGGATGGGAAGCATGTGGTGTTTGGCCAAGTGATCAAAGGAATGGGTGTTGTTAAACTACTAGAAAATGTTGAAGTGAATGGAGAAAATCCTGCTAAGGTAGGTAGAACCAGAATATTTTGAGTGAATACTTTTTCCATTACCTGGAGTCCTATGAGAGAACTGCAGAATAGCTTTAGTAATGTTTTTCAGTAGGACTGAAATTTAACAACTTCTGTGTCTCAGAACATTTCAACATTTTAAAATTAGCTTTCATTGTCTTCTATTGTAAAAATAAACGTGTTCTTTTTTTTTCTTTTTTTAATCCAGGCTAATAATCAAAGATTATTGATCCTGTGTTGATGCCATTTACTAATCTTAAATAAAATGTTAAGATTGTAGAAGGTATTAAAGACCTTGCAGTTAAGTGTTTGTAATATCCTACATCTGGAAAAATCTTATACATGTTGACTAATTACTAATCAATTTTCATACCACCTTTCAAAAGGAAGGAGAAAATAATATCTCCACACTTCTAAGGTATGATAAAACAAGCATATGGAAAATGAACAAATTACAATGAATTAATGGAAGGGCAGACTTGCAGCACATTAGCTATTTTACAGTAACTGGGCACGTCTACATGTGCGCTTTAATATGTAGTAGCCTATTCTACTGTGCATTAAAGCAGCGTATAAAAAACTGCTACTATGATAATGTGCAGTAGAATAGGCTACTGCGCATTAAGTGTCGCTAAAAAAGCAGAGTTTGCTTTTGCTACTGTGCATTAGAGCAGCCTGATGTGCATTCTGTAGTACCTCACATTAGAGGCACTACATTTGATGTGCAGTAACAAAGTGCATTAATGCACATGTAGATGCTCCCACTGTGTGTGCTTTTAGCTTGTGGTAAGTGGAAGCTAAACCTAAGGCAGCTTAGCTGTGTTTTACTTGGCACTTAATTGTCTCAATTTTAGTTTTCACTTACAGTCGGTTTAGAACAAGTACAGCATTGACTGGTGTGGAGCACCTGGCATGTGACTTACCAAAAGCTGCAGAAAAAGTTAGAACTGTGATTAAAAAAAAAAAAAAAAAAGACAGGATTCCTAACTGCTAACTTGTGATGGGTGCATCCTCTAAGTATCTAAAAGGATGGAGCAAACAGCAGTTAGTCCCGGGTGGTTACAGAATTTCACATTAGAGATGGTTGTATTTCACTGATGCATTGATTGTGTATATTTCATATCTGTTCCTAATGGCTTAGGAGTGATTTGAGATAAGTTACTACACAAATTGGAAGTTCATCTGAATGAGAAAAGAGCCTTCTGTCTCTGTGTACTGAGGTGCACATTCTTCCTTATGTTTACTTAAGGATGGTGACTGCCACCTCCTGTTCTGGCTTGGTGGTGACAAGAGAAAGCAGGCATAATCTTTGTCAGAAGTGTTAGAATTCCTGTGAATCTGTGGTATTTGTGAGGCAGTTTCTTATTTATGGGGCTTGTACTTGTAAACTTTTTACTTGGGCAACTAGAGAAGCAAAATTCCAACACAGGAAGAATACACAAGAATTCCATGAGGCTGAAGTTACTGTATATTATTTCCGTTGTAAAAATACATAAAACATCACCATTAGAAAATGTGTTTGGAACCTAGTTGGAACTATCTGTGGAGTATTTAAATTTTTTTGTCTAAAACACACATGGAAGATGAATAATCCCATTCCCATATTTCTCTCCATTGCTGCAGCTCAGTTTCTTTCCCCAGAGCCCTTTCACACACTTTTCTTTGCTTAGTCTTCCGATCTATCTTTTTCTCTATTAAAATTGTGTATTATTTAGATAGTAAACCTTTTTCTTTTTCTCTTGAGTCCAAATAGGTCAGTTGCTTTAAGGGCATAAGTGCTGTAGTAAGATTTTTTCTGTGTGGGTTTTTTTTTCTTATTAACATTTCTAATTTGAAGATACTAGGAAAAATAACTCTTACCCCATTAGCCTCATTACAAATATCTTTATATGAACTCAGAACCAGCTTCTGCTCTCCTGCACCTGAAAGATTGGGGTTGTATTTAATTGTTTTGTTCCCAAGTAACCAAGACTCAGCCCATAGAGTCATGTCATTTGGCTTCTGGGATTCCCCCACTGATCCAGAAATTTGACAGCTGTGGAGCCACAGTAATTTTTTTACCACCCATTCTGCTGCCAAATTTCCAAACCTGTGGGGAGCCCTATGGGCTAGATCTGGAACGTGAGATCTGCATTATTTGACTAAAGTTTGGTGGTGGGAAGAGTGGTGGCTGCTGTGGGTTTGGGAGCTGCAGAAGTTAATGCTGCCAGTACCAAATTCCAGCCCTGTGGGCCAGATTATGTGGCTTCTTGCTCCAGGTCTGACCCACAGACTGGAACCTCACTCCAGATGGAGCCTGTGGGGTCAGATGAATTGGATACCACTGTTGATACAATCTGCCTATCCTGCCAATGGCTTTAATAATAAGGGGAGATTAAAAAGCATCTGGAATGTGTTGGTTAGGGAAGTGGAGGATGTTTTCACTGATCTTTTAACAGTACATAGTATCTCTGTCTTTTTGGAGTGTTGAATGACAGTATTGCATGATAGACATGTCTTGTGGTTTTTTATTTTTTACAGTTGTGCATTATTGCAGAATGTGGAGAGCTGAAGGAAGGAGACAACTGGGGAATTTTACCAGTGGATGGTTCTGGAGATATCCATCCAGACTTTCCTGAGGATTCAGAAACAGACTTCAGAGAGGTATGTATTTTTCTTTTGAAGGTAGTTACTTAAGGAAAAACTTCCTAGTATGCTGGACCATAAGGTGTATGTTGTTATATTTCTAAAGGCTCTGTCAGAACAATTTAGATCTAGTGACTTAAAGACACTGCTTTAGATTGTTAGATCTTACAATTTAATACTGTAGATTCAGTGACATTCTTATAGTGCTAGCCGTGACCTGATATTTTCTAGTGACCATAAAGCTAAAAATAAGATTGTTCACAGAAATTTATTTTCTAGGCTTCTTTTCTTTCTGTTATTCAAGACTGTTTTTATTGCTGGAGTGACAAGTTTCTAGAACTATAAAGCATAAATATTTAACAGCAGACTTTTGGAAGTAGTTTGGAGATTCTTACTGTATAGGATATAGCCACATTTCTGTTTGTTCATTCTTTTTGATTAAGGGACAGTGGATTTTGCCTTGTCATTGGAATGTGTTGAACAACTGTCATTAGGATAAACAGATAAATTACTGGTTGCATCTTTACTGTAGTTAAGTTTTGTGCCCTAATGGTTAGTCACTGTTGATCCTTATGTTCAACTTCAGTGGGAGTTTCATACCATAGAACAAGCATAGAGCATTAACTATGGACTGGGATAACTGGATCTCTAGTATACTACTGGATATTGTTTTTCCTTTAAACGTGGGATTCCATAGTCACTTCTGTATAACAGAGCATCTGGAATACCACCATTATTCAGAGACAACTTCTAAATTAGTATAATATAAGTTACTACTTACATTTTTATAGGTGGACAAGATTGTGTCAATAGCAGAAGACATAAAGAACATAGGAAACACTTTCTTCAAATCTCAGAATTGGGCAATGGCAGCTAAAAAGTATAACAAAGGTTTAAGGTAAGGACGTTTATTATTGCTAATGTCTTTGATCATTGTTACCATTTTCAGGAAGTATTAGCACACTTATTTAAAAATTATTTCAGTTAATAGGGTTTGTGGCCCTTGATAGATTGGAAAATTATTTGTTTTAGTCATTTAGAAATGAGCACTTGTTTTACAGAAAGGTCATCATGCACACTTGAGGTATATTCTGGAACACAAAGATAAATGTTGAAAAAAACTGTCAACTGAATTATTTGCTTAATGCTGTCCCTGAACTCATTTATACTTAAAAATGTAATTAGTATTTACCTGTTGCTTCAACAGTCATTCCTCTTCCCTCAGAGCCTGCACTTTGGTCTTTCTGCAGATTCTTGTGGTGTTGTTACTGTCAACCCTGACTAGATTTCTGCTCTTGCTTACATAATCTCCCGCTCCATCTTCCACGTCTTTTACCTTAACTTAGAGTTTTTCTGCCCATGTCTCACAAACAATTCGTCACTTTTTATACTTTCCTGAGTTGTTTGACTCAGGATCAGAGACTATCTGGATCTCTCACTTGTTTCCTCTGGAGTTGTTTTCAGCGTCATTCAATACTGCCTTGTATACCTGCCTCCTTAATCATCACTGCTTCATAAAATTATGAATATTGTAACTCAAGAGCACCAGTGGCAGCACCAATTTGCCTGTGTCTATCTTTTAACTTATTAAAGAACTAAAATTAATAACCAAAGAGGAGAAACATACAAAGCAAAAATCTCTTTTTGATAGCCCACATTAAACTTTCAAAATATTCTCTTTTAAGTCGTTTTTTGTTTTTTTTTAGGAGTATTAAATACAGTAACAGGAAAGTGTCCTTTCAATAGAAAAATGCAATTGTGAATCAAAGTTGCAAAGAAACTTAGGCACACACAATGCCTAAAAACAAAATCTCTTGTTTTTTGAAGTTAATTAGATTTCCAGCAGATAGAAATTTGTTATGCTTTGAAAAGGCTACCTTGGAGAACTGCGCTCTATTTACAATACCAAACATAGAAATCAGAGAAATGAAGAGCTAAAATGGACTACCAGGAGTCATGTAGTTCATACTTTTGCACTATGGCACAATCAAGTATCTGTCTACCATCCCTGACACTTAGGAACAATTTAGAAAACAAACTCCCAACAAAGGGGATTTAGAACCTGTCTTGGTAGCTTATTCCAGTACTTAACTCTCCCTTACCATTAAAAAAAAAAAATCCTATCATCTAACTTTATCTCTCAGGCTGCAAATAAAGTCAATTGCTTCTGGTGCTTTCTCTGGTGGACCTGGAAAACAAGCTTGATCACCATCTAAAACAGGTTTTAACTTTGGTAACTTATACCAAGTTAAAAGTGGGACAAGCTTCCTTTCTTTAGACTGAACACATTCAACCTTTCAGAGAACCATAGAGAAAGTAGGGCTGAAAGAGACCTCAGGAGGTTATCTAGTCCAACCTCCTGCTTGAGGCAGGATCATTCTCTCCAAACTACCCTATACAAATCCACTGTGTAACCTTTTAGCAAAACTATACAGTCAACCCTGACACATACCCCAAGACATAACCTAACCTGCCACGGATAAAGTAGGGGTACCACAGCAATGCCATTTTCCAAACCCATTGTTCCTGTTGGTGTCCTATGGATTTGCTTCTGTTTGTTTCCATCTTAAAGTTTGGTGCCCAGTGTTAGATACAGTACTCCAATTGAGGCCTCACCAAATCTTGGAAGAGACCAATAATTACTCCCCATGTCTTACATATGATGCTTCTTTTATTGCAGCCCAGAATGAGATTTACCTTTTTTCAACACCACAAATTGTCTCATTCTGTTTGTGATCTACGATAACCTTTCCCTCTTAGAGATCCTTTTCTATCATGCAGCTGCATATTAAATTACCCCGCATTATGTATTTGTGCATTTGATTTTTTCCGTCCTAAGTGGTGTACTACTTTGTGCCTGTCTTTATTTATCTTATTGATTTCAGACCATTTCTCCAACTTGTCAAGATCATTGGGAATTCTGATCCTGTCCACCAGAGCTCTTGCAACCACTCCCAGCTTGGTGTCATCTGTAAATTTTATAAATGTACTCTCTATTCTATCATAAAAGCTATTACTGAAAGTATTGAATAGAACTGGACACAGGACAGGCCCTTACAGACCATACTTTATCTCCTCCTAGTTTAACAGCGGACTGTTGATAAATGCTCTGAGTACCATTCTTTGATCAGTTTATGGCAATTTGATCTAGGTCATACTTCCCTTCATTTATAAAAATGTCATGCAGGAGTCAGAAACCTTACTAAAGATATTTCACACTTTGCCTCCTTCCCTTTTCCCACCAGCCATATTGCTTTGTGAAAAAAGAAGGGTTTGATATCATTTGTACTGGATAAACCCAGTCCTTCACTGCTTTCTTCTGCTGTTCCTTTTCTCTCTTCTGCCTTTTGTTTCTTACCTTATACATTATGCCTGATACAGATGAAAAACCCTTGGAGTTGTGAGCAGATAATTCATATTTTAAATGTCATGCACATTTATGGTATTGTATGCAGAATTATGCACAACCCTTACTAAAAATATGAGTGAGAAAGTGATGTAGTCAAAGTCTAGAAAATGCTAAAATTTAGGATGCACAACATTTTCTAGATTTTGCGTGTTTAACACGTGAGCATTTGCAACGTTTCCTAGGTTTTTAAAGAAATCAGGAATTCTATTCTGTGGAGCTGAACTAATCATTTTGTGCTCATCTGCAGAGCTGGAACCTTCCTATCCGCCATAAGGATCACTGCTGCTTGAGTTAAGAGTTAACTGAGAGTTACTAGATTGTGATCTAACCTTTGGAGGATGGGACCCACAATTTTTCTGTGGGTTTCAAAGATATTTGCTGACAGTGGAAGAATGTGGAATCTTAAACCTTGGGTTCTGCTCCAGGTTCTGGGGCAGGGTGATCAAACCTTTCTGCTCTTTTTTTCCTTGGATTATTCTAGTTCTGCCTGTTCCTGCCAGTTTTTGCCCCCATCTCATTTTGCTGGAACTGTTTGTTCACAGTACACTACTCCAGGCTTTTTGACATACTTTGACTTTAATCTTCATTTTCCCATAAAATTGCAGCTGTTTTGATGCGTCATGGGTGGGGATGCATTTACGGATTTTTTTAGCTGTGTCCCAATCCGCTTGCTAGCTTTGAAGCTGAGGGAAAGGACATTTGATTAGCATGTCAAGTGGAACGGCAGTGAGGGGTGAAGGGATGATGGGGTTAATGCTTGTATGACATGCTGGATTGTAGTGAAATGGCTGCATTTTGCATGCTCTGCAGATTGTTTTGTTTCTCTGTTCAGTCTTAGATCTGAGTTCAAATACTTCTGAGTAACTAGCCTAAGTGTTGTTAAATATTTGGTGAAGAGAAAGGAATAGAGTGTCCTGTGGGGGAGGGGAGACGATGTTGTATTTTGCTAAAGAATATAACCTACTCAAGTAGGAGAAACCATATTTGAAGAGGACTCAAAGTCCTCATGCCATTTAGAACAACATGTGGGTGGAAAAGATGCTGTCAGAAAAGATGAAGGGTGGTAAATCACAGCTAGTTCTTTGAAATCTTCCTTTTCAAACATCACTTTTATCTTGCCCTCATTGAGTTGGATGAAGCTAACTAATCTCCAGATAGCTAATCTCCTGAATTCTAACATAAGGTAGAATTTAACTTTCAGGGCATGGACCAAATTCATCAGTTTCATATACATATTTGTATGTGGCAGCTTAACTGTGATGGGTGCCTTTTAAAAAAAATGTTCAAGTTAATGAGCCAGGAACGTTAAACTATTTTCTTTTTACAGTTCAACTTTGGGGAAAATATGCATGTTAGAATCATCACTTTGTCACCTAACATAATGGGCATGTAGAAATTAGGTATTTAAAAAATATTGAGATAGATGGTGAGTAAATATTCTTTGCATACTTTTTTGGTCAGATAGCTGTGGGTTGAAATAAGTTAATGTTGCAAGTTACAGTAAGTCATACCTCTTAATATGTATTGTTCGTAAACTTAATTTTGCAGGTACCTGGAGGCCTCTGAAGCTGTGATAGAAGAAGTGGATAAAGCAAAATTGAAGACTCCAGCTTTGACCTGCATCTTAAATGTTGCTGCGTGTAAACTGAAACAGTCAGATTGGCAGGGAACCATTGAAAATTGTTCTGAGGTAAAATTTGGGTTTTCTGTTGTTTTCAACTTGCATATAAATACATGTGTGTCCATTTACATAAGTTGTTTTAGTTACCAGACTAGACTATTTGGAAAACAGAGGCTGAAACCAAAAATCTCAAATAATTACAAAAGGATCATTTTCCTGAAATAAGTTAATTAAAAGACCTGGCACATCTGGCATAACATTATTACATTATTACTAATTTTTTTACTACTACTTCAGAAGAAATATTCTAAAAAATTGATACAATGTAAGAGGTATGCTGTGCTTCTCAGTCTTAGTTCCAGGGAGCAGTATTAAATTGTATAGCACAAAGGATTTATTAAAAAAACAACCTTTTTATAGGAGTTTCACAGGCAGAAAATTTTAAACATGTTCTGAAAGTGATTGTTAGTATTTTATAGATTAATTGATTACTACTTTAACTAAAAAGTCTGTACTAGCATAGTTGTGGAATGAAGACCGCAACAAGGAAGTGCAACACAAAACAGGGAAAGAAGTAATTGACATAAGAGAAGGTGAAAAGCATGGCTTGTAGAACTAATGACGGTTATGAATTCCAGTATAGTAGGAAAAAAAGAAATGTTGGCGATTGCATATAGGCTCCATTACTGGTTAGAGTATAGGAAAATTATTAATGATGAAGAAAAGACAGAAGTATTCAATATACATTTCTGTTCTGTATTTGGAAAAAGAAATAAGAAGATGAACTACTTTTCAGTCCATTAGTAACTGAGGACTTATCCCCTGTCAGTAACAGAAATCAGCAGGTCCATCTAATGTGCACCCAACAGTCCTTAAAGAGCTGACCAAAGAGACCTGTCTTACTGATGTTGATGTTTAAAAAATACCAGAATGTGGGAAAATGCTGTAAGCCTGGAAGTAAGTTAGCATTGTGCTAATATTCAGAAGGAGCAAGTGAAATGACTTGGGTAAGTATAGATTAGTTAGCTCGGTATTTATCCTAGGAAGAATAATGGAAAGGCTGAAATAGGATTGAATTGAAAATTAAATGAAACATGTAATGTTATTTAATTCCAGGCCACATATTTACGGAAACTTCATGGGGATTATAGGTTTAGTTGACAAAAACAATGGCATAGGTATAATTACATTGTTTGAAGTATTCAATTCTGTCCTTTTAGTGTATACTCTGATACAGTGCAGTACTTTAGCTAACTGACAGATTTCAAAGTAGTTGTCAGGGAATTGTTAATGAAAGGGGATAAACTCTGGTGAGATTCTGCATTGAATGGTAGTAGGCCAAAAGGCATTTGATGTTTCCACTGAGCTGGAAGTAAATATAAAATTGCCACAGATTTTAAATTTGCGGGGGGTAAAGATTGGCAGTGTGGTACATGACAGGATACTTGGAGCAATCCGGATTGCTCAGCATATTAGAAGTTATGAAAAGTGTTTTATTACTTGTTCCAACAAAGGCAAAATTACACATCTTGGAACAAGTAATACAGGCCTACAGAATGGGAGACTATCCCCTGGACAGCAGTGATTCCAAAACGGATCATAATAGACCCACAACTGAATATGAGCTGCCAGGGTTGTGCTCTAAGAGAAAAGGAGAATGCAGTTGTCTGATATATTAACGAGTGGGAAGTGAGTAGGAAAGTGATTTTAGTTCCATATGTAATATGGATGAAACAGATACTAAAATGAAGTTTCTGGAATAAGGTGTCTGTGTTTTTAAGATGTTGATAATTTATAATGAGTGCAGAAGAGCCACACCATGAAGGTGATGAACCATTAGAACAAGTGGTACAATCTCCATCTTGATGCCACCTCATTAGAACTAGAACTCCAGAAGACATAGTGTAGTAAAATTTGGCTCATTACAGAAGTGACTGATTGAAATTCTAATGACCTCTGATATATGGGAGAGAATCATAAGATCTAATAGGCTGTTCTGTCGTTACAGCCTAATGCAGGAGATTGAAATGCAGCTTTATGTAGGTCAGTTGCGTAGACACAGCATGTTAGCACTTAGCCCAATATATCCTAAAATGTCTTATGTGCTTTATAAGACGTGCTATAGCAGTACTGTAGTTCACTGATTCGTAAGTGGTGTTTCCATTTAGATAATGAGATTTGCACAACTTCTACAAAAAATAGGAAAGTGGACTACTTGTGTGTATTGTAGTGTAGTGTTTGGAGAACATCATTTTTATCACTTTTATTCATTTTGCAGGCTCTTGCAATAGATCCAGAAAACACAAAAGCTCTTTACAGACGAGCTCAAGCCTGGCAGGGAATAAAAGATTTTGATCAAGCTCTGGTAATTAATTATTAAGAGTTTATTTTGGTTTATGTATTTAAAGTTTTTAGCAAAGCATTTACTTTTTTATTTTTATTTAAGGCTGATATTAAGAAGGCTCAGGAGATAGCACCTGAAGATAAAGGTAAACTGTTTGCTTAATATTAAACTATTTACTAAATAATGAAGACTTTAGCATTTTAATTAAGCAAAGCCTATGAACTTAAGTCCCAGTGTAATTTGCAAACCACTTAAAATGGCTTCACAGACCAGTTTGGGAAATGAGTGGCTTAATTTATTTTTATGTAGAGCTATTTTTAATCCTGGTATCAGAGTGGTCACAGGAGCCCCCTGCTTTCTTCCTGGCAGTTGCCAGAACTTAATTTTTTCAAAATCAATCCTTCTTGCTTATTTGGCACAGTAGCTGTAGGCTAACATAATACCTTTCATAGGGTTTACAACATGAACACACACAACTTTACTATTTATCCTGTACTGATGGTGGTCAGGAAAATTATTTCTATACACGACTAATGCTATGTCCTTGGCCAAGAGCTCAATTTTTTGGAGTTCAGGATGGGAAAATTTGTTTATGTACTCCTGACCTATAAAAAAAGTAAGATTGCTTAATATCCAGGTACCTGGGAGAAACTTTCTTTAGATCAGAAACTCCCTCCCTATTGATGGTACTTTGTACGCTGTTACACTCTCTGTAAGCTCATTTCCCTATTCTGTAATTGGATGGGAGAGTAAAGCAGCTTGTGGAGAGCTTTTTATTAGTATATACCTTGATCACTTCATTTGTAGATACTTATTGTAGGTTAGAATGTCCCTGCTTGAACAGTATGAAATGAAGATGGGTGATAAAATTGTGATGTAATTGAGGCTTTTCTTCTAACCAGCTATCCAAACTGAAATTCTGAAGATCAAACAAAAAATAAAGGCCCAGAAAGATAAAGAAAAGGCAGCTTATGCTAAAATGTTTACCTGAATGGATGTTTTGTCCTGTTAGTCATTGGAAGTAAAGCTAAGCAGATCTGCAGCCATCCATGACTTCTGCCTTGTACTGCAGTACAGATGTTGTAGGAATACTATCTTATTTTCAATGTTTACAGTTTAAACCAAGTTTCATAATAAAGTCATTCAGTCTGAAAGTGAAGGCTGTGTTTTACTTTAAAATAACTCACCAACATTAGATACAGTCTGAAGACTAGAGCTTCTTAGAACGAATTTACCTGAACTGCTTTAATATATTCAAACACTAACTCCTTCACTGGAACAGCATCATCTGAGTCTCAATCCCACTGACTTGAAGTGTTGGTAGAAGTAGTTTGTAAAAATAAAGTGACAACTTATCAATTAAGTTTATATATAGTACTTACAAACTTTATTAGAAATTTATTCCCTTGAAATACCAGAGTAAAATATTATGAAGTGTAACAGTTCAAATTGGTGAGTTTTATAGACTGATTTTTTTTCTAATGCACTTATTGGATCAAGATTCCACTTATAGGACATTTAAGGCAGGGCAGACGCATGTACTCATCACTAAAGATGAAGAATCACTCTTTTTAATTCTTTCACATCCAGAGTTCTGGATATGTCCACTTAACCACTGGCAAAAGATCAGATTCCACATTGACAAAAAATAATCAAGAAAAGACCTGTTTGTTTGGTTTTTTTGTCTGCTGCTCCACTTGCTTGGATGAAGCTTCTCACAAATAACAGCAAATGCAAAGGCATTATGCTTTAATGTAGTGGTCCAGCCTGAAGTTTAGAACGGCAAATTTACCTCAGACACTCAGGTCAGTTATATGCTTACACTGCAGCACAGTTCCTGTAAAACTTCATTGTAGGAGCTTACAGCATCATGTCAGAAGTTCACTGGATAGTTTTGATCTGATTTACATTCCATTATAGGCTGGTCCTCCTCCACCTTCAGGTACTACCCAGTTAATATTCTGACTTGGGTCTTTAATATCACATGTTTTGCAGTGGACACAGTTCTGGGCATTTATTTGCAGCCGTGACCCTTCTCCTGTTTCCAGAGGAACAAACTCATAAACTCCTGCGAAGACAAGAATAATGTCACTATTTGGGTCAGCTACCGAGTTACTCAAGATCTTAAAAATCCAAAAATTAAAAAAGGACATATAACAAGTTCTATGCTCATAACTCACAAGTTCTTGCATTCTTCAAAAGTAATTAAATAAGGGCTGTGATTTTACAGTATGGGGACTTAAATGTTCAGTTGATATCTCCTGTGCAGTTGCACCAATTGTCTGGTCACACAAAGTTCTTAGGGAAAAGGGTGAGGCAGAAAATTGTCATTTGCCTTGAAAAAATGTTTTAACGTACAACTCATTTTACATACCTGCAGGACAGAATCTTTGTTCTGGTCCATCAAACATTGCTAAATTCTTATTCACCGGGACACTGTCATCCTTTAAAGTCAAATGAGGAGGCTGATCATGTTCATGATTTGTACCACTTAGAGCCACAGAAGATAGGAGATCAAAACTGATTTTTCCATCAGGCTTTGGATATTCAATAGGTGTGCAGTCTTTGGCTGGTTTTAGCTGAGCAAAGTCTGCCCCTGAAATTATGAATGATATAAGTCAATGTACTGGTGTTTAGATCAAGTAATTTGTAGGTATTCAAATTCAATTTTAAATAGGACACTTTAGCAATGTGTGGAATTCTTAATAACTGAAAGTGAGCACAAAAAAATACTACCCCTCAGTCCAGTTACATTAGGGCAGTGATCCAGACACAAATACACTTATCAAGTAACCACTCTAGCCTTGGTTTGTGTGTTTGAAAGCTCTCCCATGTGTGAACTAACCCGTCTGTTGCTAGATTTAATATTAAAAGGCCAGAGAACAGATACAAGACATACAGCAGAATCTGCTGAAGGAGTTACCTGGATGTTTTAACGTCCACGGCTCCATTCCTCTCAGTATCCAGTAAAATATGCCTGTGTAAATCATTCCTCCATATACACCCAACACACCATGGCAGGAAGGCCGGATATTCCTTACAGAATAAATTTCTTTCCACACCCAGGATTTCTTTAAATTCTCTTCATATTCTGGCACATTAAGTCCTAAAAACAGAAATAAGTATTTAAAGGGAAGATTGTACTCAAAACTGGCTGCAAACTGAAAAGTAATGGTCAATACTGTATTTACAGTGCTCAAGCATTGATTTATCAAATAAAAACTGGGTTTATAGCTGTTTCATAAGAGTATACCTAAATTTACCTCACTTTTAGTTCCACTGAAAAAAGTGATGTAGAAGTAACCAAGACAACCACACATCTAAAAACTGCTATTGAGGGCTCTCTTCTGAAAAAGTTCTTCCTATGCACTTGTAAAGTGGAATGTAATTCCATTAAACAGATATCCTTCCTTTATTTATAGAGGAAAGCAAGTACTACTGAAGTCTCTTGTGGAAAGAAAATCCTAAAAACCCTATGCATACCATTTTAAAAACTCTATTGCTTGATGACTGGAGAAGAAATTTAGAATGGGAAACTAGGAATATACAAAACTGCCATGCTTCTGCACCATACAGGAGGATCTACTTTCAAAAGTCAGTGGCAGATACCTAAAAAGGCTTGTTGCGCATATAGGTAGTTTAGACAAAATGATGCTGTTTCTGGCCATGCACTCAGAATACAGAGAAATGTTAAGCCTCGCCCAACTGTCTCTCTCAAAATCATTTTGCCTTTGAAATTTAAAAATGGAAGACAAATGTTGACGCCTGTAGAAGGCACCGGTACTGTAAAATCTTGACTGTTGGATAAGAAGCATTATTTGAAATAGCCTTTTTGCTATTTCCCCCTAAACTTTTCCCCTTAAACTTTAAAACCTGAGAACCACAGCATTCTAACTTCTACAGCCTATGCAAAATGAACACGCTGATATTTGGAACTCCATCCTCTTACAGTACTGTATTTACTTGAATCCAAGACAAGGTGTTTTTTCCTCCCTCATTAACATGGGGACAAAAAGCACCCCGTCTTCGGTTTAAGTGGGGCAGGGGGGCAGGCAACTGCTGTGGCTCCAGGTCCAACGTAGGCTGGTAGTTGAAACTGCTGCCCGACCCACCCTGCTGGAACTACTGCTGCATGGCCACGTGAGGACTGGAGCTACCAAGTCCTCCAGATTGGAACCGGGCAGGAAGGTAAGCTGCAGTGGGGAAACAGGAGGGGGTAGGTGGGGGGCAGGGCAGGTGCCGGGGGCAAAGAAAATAGCATCACAGGGAGGGGGGAGACAGGCAGCAAGGGGGAAGGGTCAGGCTACTTGACTCCCCTGCCACCTGGCCCCCTACCACTGCTTGCTTGGCTGTAGCTGTGGGGAGGATGAATTTAAGATGTTGCTCCAATATTTAAACTTTACATGTTGAATGTTATAACAAAACTTATAAATGTTCCATGTATACAATCTAATTGTTGGGGGGTTGTGTTGTATTCATTGTTGTCTTGGATATGGATAAATACAGTATATTAGGCTGCTTTAAAATGTAATTCTGTTGTAACAGATTGATTTTAAAGGCAGACCTGAGAAACAGCATCAGAAGAAGCTCCTGAAGCAACATTCATTCCAATTATCAATACTGTATCAGAACGGATACTGAAATAAATAAAGTGAAGGCCTCCCTACTCTAAAGATGCAGCACTTTACAGCACACTGTACTGCCACAATTAAAAGCCTGTAACAAAACTACTTTTTATTTACTAAGCACACAAGGAAAACAGTTTTATAATGAAGTTGAAGAACGTCATGTTCCAATTCTTTCCATAATGGGAACAGGTCTAACTACCATGAAGGAACAGTATATTAGCATGATGGCTTTTTACTGCAGATAGCTTCTAAGTGTGCTAGCTAGAAGCTGAACAATCTGACTGCTATAGATACTACAAGATTATCTTGCACCACGCCTGTAGTTATGAAACATTAGCATACATTTTTAAATGGTTACAACAACTTGGAGTTTTAGGGAATAGCATCATTACAAAGTTTAGGCTTCCAAACATTACAAAAGGCTAAAAGATTATGGAACCACATCAAGTTCTGACACTATCTGTGACTTCTCCAGACTCACGGTGACAACTATCAGAGAGAACAATTTATGTATAAACAAAGCTACACAATAGTACAAAGCTACCAATACAGGGAAACTATTGCAGGATGTGTTTGCTACTTTATCTAAAGCAGCATAAGCTGCATGTGACAACTAATGGGATGCATACAGGATACTACTGCAATGAAAGGACTGTGAAAGGCAGTAATTCTTACCCAGGGTGCCATGGCACCTTGAGGTGCCTTGAGATCCTTTCAAGAGTGCTGTGGGGTGTCTCACAGTTTTAGCATTGTCAGGTGTGTAAACATGGTTCACAAGATAAACCCAGTTTCAAATAGGAAATCATAGTATTCTGACTTACTGCGGTCTTTTCTGTTGCAAAGTACTTGGAGAGTACTGGCTCTATTTTTTTGTAGACATAAAGTGAGTGAAAAGTAAGAACTGGCATTTTCTGAGGAGTGTCTTGAGTCTAAAATTTGAGAGCCACTGCTGTAAGGTTTAGTTGCAGTGGAACAGAAGTGTAATAATCTGACAACTTAAAAAAATTAATTTGCTATTCACTGTTAAATCGCATCGTATGGTTTTATTTGCATTTCCCTCAGCTGGAACAATGACAAATGGTAGCCTCTCACTGTCTGCACTAATGCAGTAATACTGTTTGAGCTGCAAGCAAGATACTCATCGCTGCTACCTAAATATTTTTTTAAAATTGTGAAAGTCAACCTTAAAAGATTTTTATTTAAAAACATGGACAGTAAATTTAGGCTTACAACCCATAATGGCCCCTTATATCAAAAGCACACTGCATTCTGCACTGCCGTGCAAGGACCAGATCTATTCACTGTAACCAAACACAAGACTTTCTGACTTGCAGAAAAAAACCCCAAATGTATCAATTTTGTCTGGAACCATCCCAGTAATGGTGATTTATTTTGATTTCAAGAAGCTCCTTCATATTCAAACAAAGTGCAGATGGTTTCAACTGTATATGCTGGTCCAAGGGTTGGCAGCCCTGAAGAATCTTGGGCTTGGGCCTGCAGATGCAAGGCTTTGGTGGCTGGAGGTTGAAGC